TCAAATGTCTCCCAAAACCGCAATGTTACATATCATAGCAAGACACTCTTATTCAACAGAAATAAATAACGCACTCCGAAGCTATCCTCTAAGCTTCAACGGGTCATTCCTGATCACCTGCAAGTTACCCACGTATATAGGCAACATTTCCAAGCATAAAGGGTGAGTAATCACAAATTATTATAAAAGATATATGAAATAGATATAGCAGTACAACAATAACTCATCATGGATTCCATATATCATCATATATTGCTCTCACGCCTTGATATCAACAATACTAATCAAATATATCATCATATCATCATATTAACAACAATAATCAAACACACAAAATCATAATGTCATCAACATCACTTAGTCAGTCATTATGAAATGTCACATATAATAAAATGCAATGTTATTGACTCATGCATGTGGTACCAAAACTTCATTGATGACTCAGTCATTGTTTCTCTAAAGATCCCCATCAATTGGATCGATTCTCGCTTGGAACCAGAGCACATCACAATATTGCACTCAATCCACACTATGGGATTAAGGCCATCATTGGACTAACATCCTATCATCATCACTGGACCAATTGTCCTAACAACATCAACTGACCAAAGTCCTTAAATATGCCACGAATGCATGATGCGCAACAACATAATAAATATGAACACAGCTAGTCAAAATGCATCACCATTCATGAATTCATAACCTTTCATCACATACATCGTAATACACAAAGCATCATCATAACAAACATTAGTATATTATATGAATATACATCATGTTGAATCAATCATATAGTCACATAAATTCATCATAATATTAATACATTTCATCATTCGAGATCTAGTTTAATCCTAGCAAAGTATACTAATGACACATCATATGACTCATTTTTGTTCTACCAAAGCATAGTATGTTGGCTTAGATTTCTAACACTTTGAACAACGTGTCAAACAGAGTCCTAAAACTTAAGTTATGACCTTTCAAAGTTTCTATCATACACCTCTCGCCCGAGGCTTACCTGATGAAGAAGCTTGCTCGCTTGAGGTTCTCCCGGCGAGGTTGGGGCGGAAAGCATTCCCCTATACAAAAATCTAGGAGCATTGTTTATCTTATATCACCTTGCTCGGCAAAGCTATTCGCTCGCCCGACGAGCTCCTATCGCTTCTACTTCGCCCGACGAAGCTGGGGCGAGTCACCCTTCCCATACAAAATACGGAGGCTCTATTCACCCCTTCCCTTCACCTCTTGCTCTCCTAGCGCTTCTTGGGATAATCTCACTCGCTCACCAAAGCACATGGCTCATCCAATGACTCAACACGAACATGAAATTCCCTGTGCATTTTCTACACTAAACCAATCCCAATTTTCTTATGATTTCAACACATAACAGGTTCTGAATCATCAATAATACTCATGTTTTCATCATACAATACCAACACATCATATTATACATCATATACATAAAATCATAGCAAAACAACATGGTAATTTCATCAATTTTATCAAAGATTCATTATACTCATCATGTTATCAATTCACCATAAAAACCCTAAACAACCTACATACATCTAAAACCTATATCAATCATAATAACAAGGATAACTCTCCTTACCTTAGATTATAGCTTCAATCTTTTTCTTTTGGTTCTACCAAAAATCCCTTTGTTCTCTTTCTGCCCTAGCTCTGTTGCGCTCTTCCAACTCTTTTCACGGTCGCACAGAATGGGCGTTCTAAACCTCAATTTTTCCTTATGTTAAACTTACCCCTTGGACCCTTTCTATGGTATTCCTAGATTACCCTCACTTATCACTTAACCAATTACCACCTTGCCCTTATTCTTTCGACACCACTTTTATTTTATTAAATCAATAAAATACTTCTAAATAATTACTATTAAATCTAAATAATTCCAAACTAATTATTTAAATTATAAATATCTCACGTTATCTTCTAACTCACTACTATCTCAACACATAGTATCAACGAACATCATAATGCATCATATAAATCATCAAGACATCACATATACTCATAAATATGTTACAAATACTCATCATAATTAATTAAATAATTAAATAAATAATCTAATTATTTTGGGGTGTTACACATCTTGTCCAACATATTTTCTCTACAACACTACAAGAAAAAAAGAGATTTACGACACATAAATTGCGACAGTTCCCACAAAACCGTCCTTATTCCTGAATTGCGACAGTTGTCACGACGGTTAGGCTCAACCGTCGTAGATTTTCAAGCATTATTCCTGAATTGCGACAGTTGTCACGACGGTTAGGCTACTTTTTTTTATTCTTTTACTTTCCCACTTTTTTTCAGCAACACAATATCATAATATCAACACAATATCATAATATTTTCAGCAACTAATATTTATTATTAAATTATAAACAAAATACAACAAATAAAAATATAAAAAAACAAAATAGGAGTAACAAACAAAATTGAAAGAGGATTAGGTTTTGTGAAAGAGCTTTTTATCCGATTGAAGCAAAGAACCACCGCCGGAAGTACGATGTTGCGCCTAGAATGGTGAAGCTTCCATTCTTCGATTCGACTCAATCTTCTTCATCTTCTGCGTGATCTTTGTATCATCCGAATATCAAGGTATATAAATTATTGATTCAATCTTCTTCTACTTCTTTTCAATTTTCTTTCGATTTTACCGTGGTGATGTGTTTCGGTTGAAGTTGCAGAATCAGTTGCATTGATGAAGATGATGAACGAATGAAGTTATTGATTCAGTGAAGATGCATTGAGGACGATTGAAAAACGGAAGGTGATGATGCTGTTTTGAGATAACCAGAAGGTGAGTTTTTCTTTCTTTCTGTGAATCTCCTTCTGAGTTTTTTGTGTGATTTTCTGATTGAATGAATCGTGAGCCAAGTGAGAGAGTGAAAGTTTTGTATGATGTAAAGGACTTGTGATGATAATGGTTTTGTAATGCTTGTGAACAACTTGTAATGAACATGATAGACTACGGTGGCTCCATATTCAGAATTTCAACCGCCGGTCACTGCAATTTGAGTGTTCATTCAGTATATTAAATCCATCCTCTTTGTCGAGAAAGGGTCTTGATTTTCATACTGTCCATCTCCATAGGCTACTGATGCGCTTTCAACATTTAGAGTCTTTATCCTTATGTGGTTGTACGGAGCTCAATGATTCAGGATTAACCCGTCTGCTAAGCTATGGTTCGAATTTACAGAAACTTAATCTAGATTGTTGTTTGAAAGTTACTGATTACGGGCTATCCCTGGTTGCTTCTGGTTGTCCCTCATTGACGTCAATTAGTCTCTATCGGTGTATCAACATTTCTGATGACGGATTAGAGACTTTAGCCACTGCTTGTTTATCTTTGAAATGCATAAACCTCTCGTACTGCTCACAAATATCCGACAAAGGGTTGAAAGCTCTTACTCAGAGGTGTCGTCAGCTTCAGGCAGTTAACATATCACACTGTGAGAGTATAAGAGGTGTTGGCTTCAAAGGGTGTTCAAAATCTCTCACACATGTAGAGGCTTGGTCTTGTAAGCTCAACCCAGAAGGGGTGACGGGAATAATTAGTGGCGGTGGTATAGAGTATCTAGACGTATCTTGTTTAAGTTGGTATCCCTTAGGAGATACCTTGCTTGGAATAAGATTGTCCTCAAACCTCAAAGTCCTTAACTTTCGAATGTGCAGATCTGTTTCCGATACTTCTATTGTTGCAATAGCCATGGGATGTACACTACTTGAAGAATGGAACTTAGCATTATGTCATGAGGTGAGGATATCTGGATGGCAAGCAGTGGGGTTATATTGTCAGAATTTGAAGAGACTGCATGTTAATCGATGCCGTAATCTCAATGATAATGGCCTGCAGGCATTACGAGACGGTTGCAGAAGTCTCTCGGTTTTGTACTTGAATGGTTGTGTTCACGTGACTCCTTTTGCATTAGAGTTATTCAAGTCTCACAGAGCAAATGTTTGTATAAAGGATGAAGAGGTAATGTGCATCAATCCTTACTCCCCATTCAGATGATACTGACTGGTACAGAATTGTCATCTCCCTAGAGAAAGGTCTGCATTCAGCTGAGTATTTACCAGTTGTTTCAAAAGGTCTTTATTTGTGTATAAAATGTATTTTAAAACTCGGGGTTGCTTCTAGTTATACATTACTTAGATGCTACCTGGTATAGATTTTCACCTGTCATAAATATTTACACATAATTCTGGTATTGAATTCGATAGAGGTACATTAGTATTGTAATTTGTCATTTATATGACGTAATGATCTCAATACATAATGTCACTTTGAGGACAAGTATGCATTTTCCAAAGATGTTCTTGATTACAAAAAAGATTGTTAACTATGTAGTTCTTGATTTGTTTAATCCGATAGCAAGCTGAAGTGTTGTGTCTGGACATTAAACAAGCTTCACACTAGTATGTGTTACAATTTTCTATGAATAACAAAGCATCAAATAGTTCACGTTTTAAGTTGTTGCAACATTAGAGCTAAACTTGTCAAATAGGGACTATGTCCAACTTCATTATATGTAAAAACAAGTTCTGTCAAATCTCAAAAAAGGTAAAATTCAACATTTATAAAATGATATTGAATATAGTAAGTTCCCGACATGTTCCATTGATTCATTGATTCTATCCAAATGCACAACTTTCTTTAGATCGTTGTTCCACAATCTTTCCCTTATTTGCTTAGTATCATTATCAACAAAGAACATGAACGTCTATCCCATACCAAGTTGGATTCAAATTAAATTTGAATTTGACTTGAAATTTAAATTTAAAGCAAAACTCCATTTTGACATAAAAACAAGATATAATCATTTGATTGTAATGTGGATCTGTGACTCAAATTCAAGTGTTCTTGGTTCAAAGAAGTGGAAGTGAAATAATAAAAAACTGCACATGAAACACAACTGCAAGATTAACGCAAGATTTGATGATTTGTTTTTCAGGTTTGTTGAAAATCTGGTAAAATGCTGGTACTATTTGAAACGCCGGCGGGTTTTGCCCTTTTCAAAGTTCTCAATGAAGGAAAGCTTTCTGAAGTTCAGGTGATTATCATTATTATTATCGTTTAAACTGTTCATAGTATAAATCTATCAGTTTTTTTTATATTTTTTGTTATTTATTGGTTGTATTTTCAGTTTTTGAAGGAAAAATGATTTTGATTTTAGTTGTAATTGTTGAAAAATTATGCGAAGTCTAAAAGGAAAATACTTTTAAGAAGTGATATGGAATCCATGTTTGGACATAGTATCCAAGAACAAGACCACCAAATGCAGAATCTTCACACATCTTGCAACTCACTCTCATTAGTGATATCTACTTCCACAGCCTTCTAGCCCACTATACCGGAAAAGCATTATGTCCACTTGCAAAACCAAGTTGAATCATCCAAATTCTTTTTCAGGTATCTACCATCATAATATCCACAAACTTTTGCTTTGATAAATTAGTAACTTACAAACTTTGTTATAATTGTATTGGTGCCGCACGAATATTCTACTGGTTTTATTAGTGAAGAACATAGGAATTTATAAGATATGGTTTAGGCATCATGTAAAAGTAATCATATGGAATCATAGATTCATTAGATGGATCATGTATTCATACCCCACTCCATGTATTCGGTCTTCAATGTCAAGACAACATCAATTAATATAAAAATTACTTTAATTTTAAATATATGTAGGTTAATTATCATGAAAGTTGGTTAAATGGTTAACATCTTAAAACTTAAATTAATGAATATCTAAATAAAGAGAATAATAATTATATGGCTCAGCGTCTAGTCACATAACAAGATGGAATAAAGAGTCATGCTATCAAGTTCTAAACAAGGGAAGAACAAGATAATGAAAAGTAATAACAGTGTAACATATGTAACAAAAATAAAGTTGAGTTAAGATCATTGTAGTTATAAAAATAGAACAAGAAAATCACATAAGCTATCACTTATTCACATATTAAAAATATTGAAGTTTTGCTTGTACAGAACAAGTAACGTCACAAATTTTGTACTCTTTACAAGTTCATACATATGCTTAAGGGCTTTGTGCTTGAGCCAATGAGTGATAAATCTAAAAAGGTTTAGTTCCTGAAGGTGAGTCGAATACTTAAGCACAGTCGAACAATGACTGAAAATACTTTACAAGAGATGAGAATATTATGTTGTTAACATTAAACTTCAAATGCTAATCTTTACGATGAAATCATTTTGGTTATGAAGGAAAAATTAATTGTGCTCCTTCAAATATTAGGATGTTATTGAAAATTAAAATAATTATTTTTGAGATACAATATTTATAGGACATTAAACCCCATAATACAAACGATTTGGGTAAAGGAAGACAAATGCCAATACACTACGGCTCTAACAAACACAATTACTTCACAGTTTCATCGCCTATTGCGTAAGACATATATGCCATAATGTAATAAACATGTTAAAAATAGTTGCAATTGTTAATTCGTGACATTTTTTTCTGAACAAGCTCATGTTGTTTGGCAAGAAATTCAGAACACAGCTTCCTCAAGCTGTAGGCGCTGCTTATTCGCTTAAAATGGATGGAAAAAGTGCTTGTGCAGTCACTTTTTGTGGAGATGGAAGTACTAGTGAGGTTAGTAATGATGAATATGAGCCAACAATCTCTCTTAAGAACGTAATTATAGAATAACGCATCATTATGCTTCTAGCTGATATTTGAAATATTGTAGGGAGATTTTCATGCTGCTTTGAACTTTGCAGCAGTAATGGAGGCACCAGTTGTTTTCATATGTCGTAACAACGGATGGGCCATTAGTACCCCTGTCGAAGAACAATTTCGAAGTACTCTATACAAATTCTTCCTACTTAAGTTGTTTATTCAAACAGACTCTATATAATTTTCTCAAGTCTATATGATTGACTTCGGTGTTTTGATTAGGTGATGGCATTGTGGTGAAAGGTCAAGCTTATGGGATATGGAGTATGAGAGTAGATGGAAATGATGCTCTTGCCGTTTATAGTGCAGTTCATACTGCACGCGAAATTGCTATAAAAGAACAAAGACCAGTTTTGATTAGTTTTTGAAGGAAAAATGATTTTGATTTTAGTTGTAATTGTTGAAAAGTTTGTATCTTGTATGTTTATGATCTCTGAGATATATACTTGTCCTATTCCTATTTAATTTTTTTAGGGTTTATGAGGTTTCTTTCATGAATTTTGTAGAATATTGTAACATTTTTTGTAATTCTCTCAAGTTGTAGCAAACCAATGTAAATATTAAAATGAAATTTGGCCTTTGATGATATTTGAATTTTTCTTGTTTATTGGTAAAATTTGCACTTCTTTTTACCTTTGATCACATTTTTTTGATATTATTGATGATTATTTGATATTAAATGTTTTTATTGTAATTAACTTTATTATGTTGAAAAGTGATAGAAAATAAAATAAAATACTATAAATAAAAAAATATTAAAGTAAATAATAATTTAAATATAATAGTAAAATATTATAGTAAAATAATATTATATTTAAAATTATTTTACTAAATAATAATTTAAATAAAAATATTATTTGAAATTTATAAATCAGATTACGACGGTTAAAACCGTCGCAATTTCTAACCTACGGCGGTAGAATAACCGTCGCAAACAACAACAAAAACAAAAACTAAAGTCAAATTCACGACGGTATATAACCGTCGCTATCTGTTGTGCGTGACAGTTTTTGCAACCGTCGCGAAATAGGCTGGGGACACACGATTCTGCGACGGTACTTCTACCGTCGTAGATTGTAAATTGCGACGGTTTTAACCGTCATAATCAGCCAAAATAACCGTCCCAATCTGTCATTTTTCTTGTAGTGCAAGTTAGAACATCTTATTCAACATGTTGTTGCCAAATTAGTTTTACCAAAATTAATGCCAATCATAAAAATAGAGAATTAACAAATGACTAGGAAAAAGTTATATTCTTGTTAAATCCGTTATCCAAATTATTGAGCAATTCAAAGATGTCATTGTTTATGGTAAGGAATATACTATTACTTTGGATGAAGTCCACAAACATGTGAGATTCAAAAAAACAATTAAAGATTGAAGGTAGAGGTGAGGGTTTGAGTGACTCAAAAAAATGAAGTGGGAATAGAATGATGTCCAAATCAAGAAGATTTAACAAGTCAAGTATAAAAGTTTTATTTTTTCAAAATATCGGCCACTTTAAGAAGGATTATCCAAAGAGGGATGAAAATGAAGATTTTGTTAATATTTTTGTTGCCTAGGATGAGGATAGTTATGATACTATTGGTGTACTACAGGTTCTGAGTTTGGAAATTAAAGATAATATGGTCATTAACTCAAGAAGCTTTTATCATATGTGCCCAATGAAATAATGTTAGAACATAGTTTGGTTCTACATCTTGATAATAGTTTTGATGATAACAAATACATGATAAATATATATATATATATATATATATATATATATATATATATATATATATATATATATATATATATATATATATATATATATATATATATATATATATATATATATATATATATATATATATATATATATATATATATATATATATATATATATATATATATATATATATATATATATATATATATATATATATATATATATAAAGAACAAATATCCCCTCTAATAAAGTATTTGAATATGCAGAGAAGTTCTGATGAAAGAGCATGAAAGATGATGAGAGAAGTGCTCTTTAAAGCTCTGATTAGACGAAGCATATAGACTTAGAAGCAAATCTGTGTAACACGCTCAATAGAAGAAGTTCTGATGTTATATCTTCAAAAGCACCAAAGCTGCAAGATAAGTTATGATACTCTGATAAGTGAAGTTCTGGAAGAACAAATGAAGTCTCAACGCACTTATCTATACTAAAGTTCTAAAAGACTCAACACTTAAGCTTAAGCTATACTCTGATAAGTAAATATTCTGAAAATGCAAAGAAGCTTCAATGTGTTTGTCTCATCCAAGTTCTAATCATATGAATAAAAAGAAACTCTGAGGATCTAAAGTCTCAACGATAAATATTCTCATTCTGATCAGATTTCAAAGAAGCAAAGTTCTGATGCGTTACAATTCCTTCATTACAAATCAAAGAGTAACAGCTGGAACAAAACAAGATCTGTATTTTGGAAAGTGAATTAACAACACTTTACCAACCTTTCAAGTTCATCTTCTCATATCTCATATGCTTTGCCTATATAAAGGAGTCTTGAATAAATGATGAAATTCACTTTTTGCATATACAAAGATATATCTTCACTAGCTCTCTCTTGTGCTTTAATCTTGTCAATAAATCATAGTTGTGATATAATTTTTTAGAAACACCATTACAGACATTTTTAATTTATATTTTGTAATACCTTGATAAACCAAGTTGTGGTTTAGTCTCAAGAAGACATTGACGGTAGTCATTATGTTTGTGTAATCAAAGTTTTTGACTAGTGGATTAAGACCTCGTTTGAGAGAGGCGAAATCACCTTGGCGGGTGGACTGGAGTAGTTTGAGTTCAAAAGAAGCAGGATAACCAAATGTGTCTTACTGTTTTAATTTTTGAAAACTCTAATTCAAACCCCCTTTCTTGTGTTTTTCTATCCTTAAAATAATAATTTGAGACTTTTAAGTTGGAAGATGGTGGAGTTTTTGAACACAATAACAATCAGACTTGTAAGGTTTTTGGTGTTGGTACAATCAAACTTAAAATTTTCTGATCGTAAGTTCCTTTGACACAATGCGAGGAATTTTTTTCCATAAACATGTCGAATTATTTAGGCTATTGCACTAGAGTTGAGCATGGGTGTAGAAAATTTTACATGGTGGAGTAATCATGGCTATAAGGTCTAAAATATATGGGTTGCATTTAAATGGTTTTAATGTTATTGGTCATGCATCATTAGCTAATGAAGACCTCCATAAAAAGAATATGTTATGGGATTTGATGTCACGGAGTGGTAGTGCATGAAGGTTATGTTATAGCTCTTTAATAAGTTTGATGGGTGACAAAGGATAAAAATGCATTTGACCGCGTTTGGCATGATTTTGAGAGATAGTCTACCTGAGTATTTGTAGAGTAAGGCTGATATCAAAGCATCTTATATGATTGATAAATGTTTATTCACACGAATAAACAACTAGAGGTTTGGTAAATGAAATTTGTAGATAACTCTATTTTAAAGGTCGTTATCCATCTTGAAGGTAAGATTGTTATTTATGTATTTTTGGCCAACATGTTAGACTACAACGACTTATCTAGAGGGGGTAAATAGATTCCCAAATTAATATGACATTTCAAAGATTTTTATTTAAAACTTATTTGAAAAACAATTTTGAGCGGAAGGTTTTTGGCCTATATAAAAATAGTAGTCTAAACGAACCTAGTTATTGGAAACTCGGATATGCACAAGCCATATGAAATTAAGATAATGATAAAATCAATAAACATAATAATATATCCATTAATAGTTTAATATAAAATACAATGGTTTGCTATTTCCAATGAAATCATATTAAAACCATAACTTGAAAATTTATCGAACATGTGACGCGCAATCAATTTTTCAGAATTTTCTTTGAGCTTTGTTGCTATGCAAAATCCCTTACAATAAAAGTGATTATTGTAAGAACAAGATTTGGTTCTGCAATATCATCTCTGAGTTTTGAAGATAACAAATGAGTATGGTTGTATAAACAATTTTGTTGTACTAATGTTTGTTATTGCTGAGTACTTAACAAACAGGTTCTTCGTCTGATGGATGGTGTGGCCAAGACATTAGAAGAGAATTAATTCGGCTTCTACGCTACATAAGTTTTATTGAATAGTAGAAAGATACTCCAGAAGATTCTGAAGTGTAAGCCCTGATATTTGTCTGAAGAAACCAGTCAAAAGATCTGAAGATAGAAGTTGTTACTTATATCTAGATGCTGAAGACTCAAGTTTCTAAAGACAACATGTTCTAACTAAACCAGTCAGAAGATTTGAAGGCAGAAGTTATTACTTACATCCAGATGCTGAAGAATCACGTTTCTAAAAGACAGTATGCTTCAAAGAAACAAAGTTAAAATATTTGAAGACGACGTTTCTACTGAAGTCTAGATGCTAAAAATTTAGTTTATAAAAGACAACTTGTTCCAAAGAAGACAAAGTTAAAAGATCTGAAGACAACATTTCTAACTGAAGTCCATATGCTGAAGACTTTGTGTTTCTAATAACAAGGTTATAAAGGTAATGATTCTTAAAGAACCAAGTGCTAAATATTCTAAAGATAGATGGTCTGAAGATTCCAAAGACTTGAAGTTCTAAAGGTTCAAGGTTATCTACAACAGGTTCTCAAGACAAAGTGGTGAAGACTCTAAATACGCAGCTCTTAAGACTCTGAAGACTTGCATCTCTTATGATCTAAAGGTTCGCTACAACGGGTTCTCACGACCGAGTGCTGAAGACTCTGAAGACTTGAAGTTCTGAAGACCTAACGATATGTTTCCACTTCTAAACTCATGCTCGCAGAAGTCTCTGAAATTCAGAAGGAAAGAATATAACGGTAACATAGTACAATAGTACACAGTACGAAAAGCTTTATGCCACTACCTCTCCATTAAATTGAAGTGTGGAAGAGATAAGAACGTAATAGTACTATTTGTAACAACTATTATTTAAATAGCCAACGACTCTATTTTTATTGGATATATAAGAAAATAATTGTATGTTTAAATCGTTGATGAGCTTGCTATAGGCTGCTTGGATGGGTGCTAAAAGCTGCAACTTGTAAGTCACAGGTTTTTGGCGTTCAATGTTAAAATGAAAGTTGTCATTATTGGAACACAACCAAAAAATTATCAACCACTATAACAACAACAAGAACAAATGTTATCAAAATGATTCTTCAATCATGTTGATAATGATTACAATGAAATCATTGATTCACAATGTGCTTAATTTCATATGCTACACAAAGCTTGCTAAGCCGCAGAAGACAATGAAGATGATCATGAAAGCTCCAATTACAAATCCACAACACAAAAGTTGTGCTCTAAAGTGATCAT